GTGCCCCTCGGCGGGACGTACGCTTCGCAGTGCCGGTGTGCTGGTACGGCTCCTGGCTGGGGTGGCTGCGGCGCCCTTGGCTCCCTTGAAAGTCTCAGCCAGCTTTAACGTCAGCCTGAAACCTGTTGGGCTCAGACATGAGCAGCAGTGAGCCCTCCCTGGGGGGAAGCCGGGCACGTGCCCTTGACTTCGGGGGAGACACTCCAGTTTGCACCGGGTGAAGATCTGGCCTAGGAGCTGCTTCTTTAGTCCTGACGGCAGCTCGCGTGTAGCCCTTCAACCACTCTCTTAAGTATTAACGAAACAATTTCCATAGAAACCGGCTCCCCGGTTGGGTGTGCGGAGGTGGATTCTGAGGGGTGTGCTGACGATGCGCCGGCCTTGCCACCGCCGCCACGTGCGGTGTAGCCCTTAGCCTGCCGTTCGGGGTAGCGCGGTGCTTGGTGATCGGCCTCGAAAGCGGGGGCTCGCAGCCGCTCTCGTTCTCCGTGTAAGCGGAGCCGGGGACATTTGCTGTCCCGGCGCCCCGTCTCGCGCTGCCGGAGTCAATGGCGAGTTGCCCGCGCGCTTCGCTGGGCACGGGCTGGGGCTTTGCAGCTCGAGCTTCGCTGCTGCAGCGTGCGCTTGCATGCCGTGCGATATCCAACATGTAAGGAGTTGGGGAAAGTCCTCCATGAACCACCCGCCGCGTTGCGTATTAACAGTACCGATGGCTTTAAGAGGGTCTTCGGCACCCAGATGCTCCGTGGGTGCTGGGGGAAGCCCCTGAGGTTTTGGGAAGGAATAGGAGGAAATTTTCAGGCAGGCTGGCTCGGTCCTTGCCCAAACAGAGCTCCTGGCGCAGCGCGGGTTTCTCAGTAAAGCCCAGAGGTTTCTCCTCCTAAATGATCCCTGTGGTTCCTGCGTGGTGCCGAGCGATGCCGGACGCGAGAGTGCGGCCTGAGAGGAGGAAGGGCTCCGTCCTGCCGTATCCCTTTGCGACAGTTGGGCGTCCTAGTTGTTAAAGAAAAAAAAAAGGCAAAAAAAAAAAAGTAAATTAAGAGAATAACTCGCACCGTGGGCCATGTCACACCTGTTCTCTCCTCTGTCCCCATGCTCTCTGTAGGTTCGGCGTACCCCCCCAGCTGGCGCAGCGCCCAGGGAGCCCCGGATGTCTGGCAGTTTTCGGATGGAAGTTCAAGAGCACTTAAATTCTGAAAGGAGGTGAAGCTGGGGCGAGCGGCCGGCGGCGTCTCGGCGTCCGGAGGTGGCCTCTGTCCTGCTGGCTCACCCCGGCCCCCGGGGAGCCGAAGTCACCCGCCGAAGGCAGCGCTCCCCGGGCTCCTCCTGCCTGCAAGACTATCGTATTTATATTTTGTAATAGAGTACACCACTTCTTTGGGGTTGGTTTTTTTTGTTTGTTTGTTTCTTTTTTTTTATTTTCTAAAAACAAAAAAAGCAAACCCACCCACCAAGGTCAAGGGTTTATTGATGGCTTCGACCGGCTCCTTTCCCCGCGGAAAAGACTGTCTTGCTCTCGTGGACAACCCGGCCTGTTGGTTATCTCCACGACGTGCCATTTCTCGGAAGGCGCATCTGATGTGACAAATTAAAGATAAAATAAAACACAGTGTAGGTCTGTGGGCGGGTGGGAAATTGCCATAATAAATGTTGGAGCTTTAGGTTTTGTTTGCTCTGTCTTTAATTTTTAATGCTAACAAGGGCCAGGCGGCCGGTATGACTTTGTATTACCGTATCGGCTGCAGAAAACCGAGTGCTGAGTTTACAAAGAGAAAGCCGGGGCTGGCGTCCGCGCGAGGGTGTGCACGGCCCCGGCGGGCAGACCTTTCCCGCAGAGCTGGCCCGGGCGTCAGGCTTACGGCCGCGGCCCCCCAGCTGGGGGCGAACCCCCGTTGGCGGTCGGTGATGCTGAAGCGGGGGGGGGGTTCTC